CGTCTCTACTAAAAATACAAAAAAAAAAATTAGCTGGGCATGGTGGCGAGCCCCTGTAATCCCAGCTACTCAGGAGGCTGAGGCAAAATTGCCTGAACCCAGGAAGCAGAGGTTGTGGTGAGCCAAAATGGCGTCATTGTACTCCAGCCTGGGTAACAAGAGCGAAACTCTGTCTCAAAAAGAAAAAAAAAAAAAAAAGCTCTTGGAACTAAGAACAGTACTTGGCATATTTAAGCGTTCAATAAATTATATTAAGTATTCAGAAGTACAAAATGGATCCCATAAAGATAATTCAAAGGACCACAAAAATAAGTGTTTGTGTTTTGTTTTTTGTTTAAAAAATGCTTCCTTCCCTTCCTCCAACACACAAGCAGCAAAGCAGAGACACACCCATAGCCGAAGGAGAAGACACCCAAACACCAAATTAGAAATGGCTTCACAGCATGGAATGAGAGGGGCTCAAACAGCTCACAGGAAGTGCCCACATGGACAACCGTCAGAGTGGTGAGCAATTATCTCCCACAAAATTGAACAAAGCAGCAGAGGTATGTAGGAAGCAAGTGAGGACAACCTCTAAGGCCCATATAAATCTGTCACGAAAACTTTCTGGTGGAAGGAAGGATAGAAGAAAGATCTGGACATCAGCATTTGATAATGTCTACTTCAATCTTCCTGACAACTACATTCAAATCGACCTGGGTGTGCTGACCCCAAGCACATCATCCAGCTTGAGTTCCACCGCTGGGTGGGGAAAAAGGAAAGTAAGGGCCAGTCAGAGCCCAGAAAGGAGCACAGTTCAGAACTGCACAGCCGTGGAGACTGAGGATGACTGTGGGAAACGAGGAAAGGGGCATATGGGGTAGAGATAAAGAAGGGAATGCAGTGAAGTCGTGGCCATAGTGGGCAAGTATGCCTTGAAGGTGGAGACAGGCACCTCTCTGTCTGGGCCTGCTCCAGTAGAGTGCTCAGGGGCCAGCCGCAGGCACCACAAGGAGCAAAGCAACTGGTGCAAACCCCACACAGCTTCATGCAACCAAGAATGCTTTATTCTGTCCAGGCATCTGTTCAGTCTCATCTTTTTTTTTGAAACAGGATCTGGCTCTCACCCAGGCTGAAGTGCAGTGGTGCAATCTGGGCTCACTGCAGCCCAAACTCCTGAGTTCAAGCGATCCTCCTACCATAGCCTCCCAAACAGCTGGGATTATAGGTGCACACCATCATGCCCCACTGATTTTCTACTTTTTGTAGAGATGAGGGTCTCACTATGTTGCCCAGGCTTGTCTCGAACTCCGAGTCCACCTCAGCTTCCCAAAGTGTTGGGATTAGAAGCACGAGCCACCACACCTGGCCTCAATCTTTTCAATCTTTTGTTTTAAAAGGCAGACATCTCCCTAGTTGGAGCAAGGAGGAAACGGGACTTCAGTAAGTTCCAAGGGACAAGGAGAAGCCCCACGACAGTTCGAGATCTTGCCAGAATGATCTGTATTCCACCTCCTCATCCCTCTCCCCAAAGCGCGACACCTTGTTCCTGGGAGTAGGGGGCGATGCACGCCCAGGGCATGTCCTCATCCGACAAGGTCACAAGGGACCCAAGGGCAGCTGTGTTGCCACCGAGAGTACCCGGCTGCTCAAGACTGCCAGTCAGATCCAGCCTTTCTTCGAACGAGACACACATCTCGGCCCCCCGCCCGCCGCCCTGAGGAGACATGCGTCTCGCCCCCACACCGTGAGGAGACACGCAACTTGGCCCTGAGCCTGAAAAGAGGTATTCCCACCCCCGCCCCTCACACGCGCGAAGCCAAGCGTTCCGGCCTCCACCATCTTAAGACGCCGGGGACGCGCACTCCCAAGGGGGCGGAGCTAAGGGCGCCGCGCCCCAAAAAACGCGGCAAAGTCCCTGACACGCTGAGAGCTTGTGAGTCGCCATGTCTATCCTCTCCTCCGACGGCACGCCGTGCTTCCCCTCAGGCACCTTTCACCGTTAGGGATGAGGACCCCGCGGCGGTTCTCGGTATGGTTCTGATTCACCGCCATCTTACTTCGGGCCTCCTCCCGCCGCCCCGCAGATGGAAAGGGGCGAGGGGGACCTGCGCGAGACGTGAGGGGCCTGCGCGAGACGTGGGGCGGGGCTCTGAGAGGGAGGGCGGAGATTATGACGCAAGGAGGAGGAGGAGCGTGATCGGGTCACGTGATTAGGGCGGGGTCCAGTGGGCAGGGAGGAATCTGGGTGGAGGGCCCAGCCGAGAAAGGGGCGGGACCTGGGAATTGGCTCCGCCCACGGAGCGCGAAAGGTTAGGTGAATGGCCTCCCAACCTCACCTGTCCCCTTAGCCCCCTGCCTGCGGGTTTGTACTTGGGTTGGTCCTGTCAAGAATGAAAATTAAAGGCAGCCGACCCGAGAACCCAAGCAAGGATTTCCCTGCGTCCTCCCCGCCCCGCCAGGAAGCCGCTGCCTTTTGCAGAAAGGGTCCAGAATAACTCCTTGCCTCCCTAGGGCCACAGAACTTTCTTCCACCGGCGGAGGCCCGGAGGCCCCTGAGGAGTCCCTGCCAGTTCCAAGATCGACAGCGCCTTTGTCTCTGGGTCATCGTTCATGCCTGCCCTGCCTCCTTCAGAGTGATCGTGGGGATGGAGCGGGACGTGTTGTACCGGGATTGCTTTGAAAACTAAAATGTTGTACATGTTCTTATTTACTTTAAACTTCACAGATACAAGCCAGGCGTGATGACTCATGCCTGTAATCTCAGCACTTTGGGAGGCCCAGGCGGGGGGGGGGGGGGGGGCGGGTAACATGAACTCAGGGGTTCAAAACCACCCTGGGCAACATAGTGAGCCTTATCTCTACCTTTTTTTTTTTTTTTTAAATTAACTGGGTGTGGTGGTTTAGACCTGTAGTCCCAGCTACTCCGGAGGCTGAGGCGGGAGGACTGCTTGAGCCCCAGAGATGGAAGCTGCTGATGGCAGCCAGCGGTGATCCAACCACCGCACTTCAGCCTGGGCAGCAGAGCAAGACCCTATTTAAAAAAATAAAAATAATAAAAATAGACTTCAATAGTATCAGAGGGTCTTCCAGACAGAGCACCAGAGTTCTTCAAAGAGATCAAAGGGATCTTCAAAGAGATGTAAACCTCTTCTTAACTACTGTCTTTCATCAAATTTAAGATACTGTTGGCCAGGTTCGGTGGCTCACGCCCATAATCCCAGCACTTTGGGAGGTTGAGGTGGGTGGATCACGAGGTCAAGAGATCGAGACCATCCTGGTCAACAAGGTGAAACCCCGTCTCTACTAAAAATACAAAAATTAGCTGCTAGGCATGGTGATGCGCACCTGTAATCCCAGCTACTCGGGAGGCTGAGACAGGAGAATTGCTTGAACCCAGGAGGCGGAGGTTGCGGTAAGCTGAGATTGCGCCATTGCACTCCAGCCTGGGTAACAAGAGCAAAACTCTGTCTCAAAAAAAAAAAAAAAAGATACTGTTAAGCATAAGAAGCAACAGTTTTTTATGTACCACTGAGGGAAAAAAAGTTGCCAAATAAACTGACATTCCATCAATTGTAAATGTATCTTGATTTCCGAAAATTTGTTTCAAAATACAAGACTTACTACAACAACCTTGGGCAAAGATTATTATGTTCTTGGGACTCCAGTTTGCATATATCTGTATGAAGGCATTGAATTGAACAGAAGAGCGCTTAGGTTTCTTTTAGCTGTGATATTTTATGTTCACCAAACTGCTTTGTCACTCACATTTCATTTCTCTCCATCTCAGTGTTATGATGCTACACTCGTTTCTGCCCTCATTTTACTTCAGTCACTCCCACAGCCTCCTGCTTTGTCTTCATCTTACTCTGTCCCTACCAAACCACTTCCCACTATTCATCCATACCTTACACTCATCCTCCAGAATGTTGAGGCCTAAAACATAATTGCCTACAGTTGTCACATTCGAGAAATAATATTCAGGGAAGTGTGTTATTTGTTGGCTACCATAAAAAGTGTGCACCTTAAGGAGAGGAAGAGTTGGCTTAAGTTGAGAAAGATATAAGCTAAAGCCGGGCCTGATGGCTGCTTTGGGAGGCCAAGGCGGGTGAATCACGAGTTCAGGAGTTTGAAACTCAGCCTGGCCAATATGGTGAAAGTCCATCTCTACTAAAAATTCAAAAATTAGCTGGGCGTGGTGGCAGGCACAGGTAATCTCAGCTACTTGGGAGGCTGAGGCAGGAGAATCACTTGAACCCAGGAGACGGAAGTTGCAGTGAGCTGAGACCATGCCATTGCACTCCAGCCTGGGCGAGAGTGTGATTCTGTCTCAAAAAAAAAAAAAAAAAAGAAAAGAAAAATACAAGCTAGTGCTTAAGTTTTAATCCTTATTCACTGTAAAATAAGCAGGTATCTAGGTAAGATAGGTCCACTCCTTTTATATATGTATCTTTTGAGACAGGGTCTTGTGTTGCAGGCCGGTCTTGAACTCCTGGGCTCAAGCGATCTTCCTGCCTTAGCCTCCCAAAGTGCTGAGATTACAGCCATGAGCCACCACACCCTAGCCAGGTCCACTCCTTTCATAGACGTGGTCCTTACACATTCGGGAAAAAGGATGGGGAAAGCCAGGAAGTTAACTGAATGAAAATCAGCATCATTTTCACTAGAGACAGGCCGTGCTTTGCACAGCATCCCTCAAGGTCAGGTGTGATAGTTCCATCACTCATTTTTTTTTTTTTTTGAGACAGGGTCTTGCTCTGTTGCCCAGGCTGGAGCACAGTAGTATGATCTCAGCTCACTGCAACCCCAGACTCCCATGCTCAAGCCATCCTCCCACCTCAACCTCCCATCCATTACTCATTTTGGATATAAAATGTTATAAAATGACTGAGGCCCAACCTCAACCTCACAAAGTGTTTCCATCTCTTGTATTCTTACCAAGACAGTCTCACCCTCCACACAGGGGTGAGATGACATAACAGCTGATTTGGTCAAGGAGCACAATAAGACACACCAGGCAATTACTGTTCAAACAGCAGTGTTTAGTTGTACAACACATAAAGTCTAGCAACATTTACAGGACCAGTTTGAGTGTCTGTTTGCTTATTTTCATTTGGGAAATTTAACTGTAATGTCACCGTAAGATTGGCTGGGACTGGTAACATTTAAGAAATGGGTCGTTCTTGCATCCCCTAGGCGTGGGCCTCTTGCTCCATCAGGACTTGGTTGTAGCTGAATGGCCCACAAGTCACCAGCCTTTGAGCAAGTTGTGTCCAGGTGGAGACAGGGAGGGGGTGGGCAAAGGGGACTTCTATAAAGACACAGTGTGTGGGGCAGTGGCAGTCGACATTCGCAAACATTCATGCATCTGATGGGGGGCTTTGCCCTCCCTTGGGTATTTTCCATTAGCCTATAGTGACCACCTGTGGCCAGGCTAATTCATTACTCACATTAATGGGGAAGGGGTTGGGTGTAGGAGCAGGTAGGGTAGGTGGGAAGAGATCCCTCTTATTGCTGAATGGACAGAAGGGTGCTAGTTTTTCCTTAGAGTGTACATATTGTGGTTTTCTGCGGGTTTGTGTGTGTGTTTGGTTTTTGTTTGTTTGGACATAGGAAAGTCAACTCCAGCAATGTCTTCTTAGGAAAACCACTCTTTCTCAGTGGCTACGTTATGAGGTGGGGAGGATGTACAGCTGCACTCTGGGCCAGCCACAAGTGGTGATTTTTAAAAAAGTGATCCTAGCCCTTGCTCCCCAACATCTATAGTGACCCACCCTCATGAATTCTTTTAAGCAATGAAGGAGACACCCTCGTCCCACATTGGGGCTCACACAGCTGATCTCAATGAATCTGGCAAGCAGAAAAATTGCTTTCTTGACCCTTTAAGGAAGCCAAGAATAGCTCATGCAGATGAATGAGTAGGGAGCAATGCCATTGCCCTTGGAGATGGTTACAAGTAGCTGGGGTGGGCCTGCAAGGGCAGAAGGAGCTCTTGATGAGTTCTTTTGCCCTGCAGGTGGCCTGGGACCGGCTGACACAGACGATGCGGTAGGGCAGTGCTGGCAGAATCCCACTCCACTGGGAGGAGAGGAGTGGTTTGGATAAGTGGAAGAAGCAACTGTCCTAGAGGCAGCTGGCCCCTCCCACCTACTGAGGGCTGAGAAGGACTGTGGTGGTGAGCTGGACAAGCACAGCACTAAAAAGGGCTTGGCCCTGCAGCAATAACAGCTGAGAGGAATGGAGGGAGAAGCAGCGCTTGAAATGGCCTTCATTCAGCAGTGGGGCAGGGGGTGGCTGGCACAGGTGGAAGGACAGTGCCCAGGAGGCCTTCTCCCTGCAGGGGGGGTTGAGAACGGTTGAGGGTGTGGAGACCAGCAGCTGGCAGCAAACATATAAAAGACCTTCTCCATGGAGGCTGAGATCATGGTTTGGGGTGCCAGGCACCATTCCTATTCAGCCTCTCCAACACCCACCTCCCATACCCCTAGATCTTCCCCTGCTGGTCCAAGGTCTCCATATAGGACTGCTTCTCTGGCAGCCAAGGATCCCTGTTCTGTTGAAATGTAGTAACCTCTGGGCTGTAGCACTGTTGTTCTATCCTGACAGGAGCCTATCCTGTAACTTTGTGAGCAGGGGAGGATGAGGGCTGGGTTGGCAAATAAGCCTCCAGGAAGGACCAAGACCATAGGTTTGAGGTCACACCACCCCCCTTTCCCCTGGTCCATTGAATCTTGGGTCTTAAGTCTGTGTTTTTTTCCTAGCACCTTAGTGATAAAAGACTGGGATTGTAAGTGCTGGGATTCATAGAGGACCAGTGAAAAACCTCAGCTGAACCAGGAGATGGAACAGGAGGTTGTATGAGGCTATTGTAAACAGTTTCACTTGGTGTTTTCCCTTTCCTAAGGCTAAATTGTTTCCCCGGCCCCAAATTTCATCAATCTTACAGATTAAAGGAAAAGAGTAACTTACTTGTACAACAAACAGGGGAAATATATGCATTGATAAATACAGGGCTTCGGGGAGAGACAAGAGAAGCCTAAGTGTATGAAAATGGGTATCACTGGGACTGTCTGCAGGAGTCAGGAGGAGAGGGAATTAGGAAAAAGCAGAGAAAGACATACATGTAATTAGCTTCAGCACGAAAGTGACAGGGAATAAAAAAGAAAGAGGTCATGTTTGAGGCAAATGGAACAACAGAGAAGCCTGCTTAAAAGGGAGAGAAGTCGATGGAGAAAAGGGAGGTGTGGTCAAAAATCTGTCTCTGAAGCCAAATCACTAAGACAAGTAATGTATATTGTTTCTGATACTTCTTTAGAATTAGTTATAGAACTTAACGTCCCCACAAAAAGTTGTCTCGCCTGACCAGCATGCGTGCTTCCTTTAACCAGACACTGGGAACTCCATCACTCACTGTGTTTCCCTCTTCACGTTGGCTGCCTGTGAGCTCAGGGCTTGTTCAGGTGTTTGACTACAGAAACTTTCTTTCCGCTCCCTATCTTTGGCTCAGTTTCTCTGGCAATCTCAGTTTATACTGTCCTGTACTTTTTTTTTTTTGAGACAGTCTCGCTCTGTTGCCCAGGCTGGAGTGCAGTGGCGCCACCTAGACTCACTGCAACCTCTGCGTCCTGGATTCAAGCAATTCTCTGCTTCAGCCTCCCGAGTAGCTGGGATTACAGGTGCCCACAACCATGCCTAGCTAATTTTTGTATTTTTAGTAGAGACGGGGTTTCACCATGTTGGTGAGGTTGGTCTCGAACTCCTGATCTCGTGATCCACCCGCCTCTGTCTCCGAAAGTGCTGGGATTACAGGCGAGAGCCACCGCACCCAGCCTGTCCTGTACTTTTGTGATTTTATTTGAAAGCAGACTAAAGTCATTTCTGGAAGCAGACTGGGCATAAATTCTAAATATAGGAATGAACCTAAAGTAGATTCATCTAAAAGGAAGTGAAAGATGTCAGAGACAGGCAGGAGAGAGGGAAAGAAAGGAATGTATGAGGAAAGGAGGGGAAGGGAGAAAGAAGACAAAGCAGGAAGCAGAGACAGGCACTGGCCTGGGAGCAGAGGCCATGTGAGTGGACAGCAGCAGTAGGCTCTGGTGACAGGTGGTGGCTTTGGGACAGTGAACACAACACAGACTGAGGGTGGAGCTCCACTCTTAGGCACTGATTCTTTCTGTAAGAACCCAGCTCTGGCCTACTTCTCTGCCCTCTCATGGCCTTCCTTTTCCCAGGAAGCTCCATCCTAACCCCAGACCACCCCCAATTTACAGAGAGGGTTGTCCTGAACTCCCTGCCCCCTACCCAGGTCTAGCTCCGCTGCCACCTATCTTGGAGAATCTCTATAGTCCCAGTTTGTGTGCAGGTTCCAAGAGAAGAGTTGCCTGTGGCTCACCTGCTCCCAATACTTTTAAATGAAACCTCCCCCAGATCTCCTGAGTGAGGCAGAGGGCTTTGTTTTGGGACACAAGGAAAGGAGACAGATAATGGACAGGCATGGAGGAACCAAACTTGCAAGGGACTCTCCAGGGAGGGCAGTGAAAATACCTCACCCCTGCATGCACACACACAGGCTCTTACTCTCCCTCACTCACACTCACACACACACACATACACATACACACAACATAGACAAGATGCTCCACAAATACCAGAGAGGCCTGTGGGACAGAGTTGAGAGGAAGAAGGTGGTTGGTGGTGGTATTTGGGATGTGTGTGTGTGAAGTGGGTATGTATGATGACACAGAGAAGGGGTCATCATGGGTTACTGTCGTGGCTTCCCTCTGTGTCCACGCTCACCGGAGGGAGGCCTCCATTGTCATTGAGCCGCTTGGCCCTGTAAGTCTCATAGTGGATGTTGTGTGTCACTTCCTTGAGGTCCTGGAGGTGGGTCCTAGAGGACACAGGGTGAGAAGAAAAAGGATGAATCAGGGGCAGGAAGAGGAGGTGGTGACATACATCACTTCGAGGGACTGGACCCAATGACTGGGACCCACTCCCAGGATGCTTCTACAGCCCCTTCTGGTTTGCAACAGGAGCTGGAACTGAGGCAGAAAGCTCTGTCACAGAGACCTGGAGACACAAGAGGTGAATCTGAACAGACAGACCCTGACCCCAAATAATTTAGCCTGCTATCTGGACAGGGGGAGGGGTGACATCTTACCTGATGACAAAGTCTCGAAGCAGGGCAAACTCACAGTGGTTGAGGTTTTCCACTATGAACAAAACAAAACAAAGCAAAGCAGGTAGTCAGTTCATTAATGCAGCAGCACCCAGGAGGTGAACTTCTGTTCGGGTCACGGAGGCATTTAGGAGAAAGCTATGGGATGGGTTCTTCTGTAACCCTTCCAGAGGTTTGCTTACTTGGGTGCACTGGATTTGATTCATTGAACAAATGTTTACTAAGCAGCTACAATGGGCACAACACTCTTCTAGACGCTGTGGAATAACAACTAAGAGGGACTATTATTTTTACCATTTTGCAGAAGAGAAAACTAACATGGATTCTAAGAAACTGGCCAAGGCCTAAGATACATTTCACATTCTTAAGAAGCTTATAATCCAATTGGAAGTAACACAGAGAAAATAACAATTGAGCCATGTTATTTTATTTTATTTTGAGACAGAGTCTCACTCTTGTTGCCCAGGCTGGAGTGCAATGGCATGATCTCGGCTCACTGCAGCCTCTGCCTCCCAGATTCAAGCAATTCTCCTGCCTCAGCCTCCTGAGTAGCTGAGACTACAGGCATGTGCCACCATAGCCGGCTAATTTTGTATTTTTATTTTAATAGAGACAGGGTTTCTCCATGTTGGTCAGGCTGGTCTCAAACTCCCAACCTCGGGTGATCCACCCTCCTCAGCTTCCCAAAGTGCCGGGATTACAGGCATGGGCCACTGTGCCTGGCCCAACTGAACCATTTTAAAAAGGTCATGCACTACATAATAAATCCAATTCAACATATACTAAATACCTAGTATCTGCAAATCACTGGCCTAGCGCTGTTGGAACACAATGAGGATTAAGACATGGTGCTGGGCACCAGAGCTCATGCCTGTAATCCCAGCAGTTTGGGAGGCCGAGGCAGGAGAATTACTTGAACCCAGGAATTTAAGATCAGCCTGGGTAATACAGTGAGACCCTATCTCTGTTAAAAATAAAAATAAAGCTGGGCACAGTGGCTCACACCTGTAATCCCAGCACTTTGGGAGGCCGAGGCGGGTGGATCATGAGGTCAAGAAATCAAGACCATCCTGGTCAACATGGTGAAACCCCGTCTCTACTAAAAATACAAAAAATTAGCTGGGCATGGTGGCACATGTCTGTAATCCAAGCTACTCAGGAGGCTGAGGCAGGAGAATTGCCTGAACCCAGGAGGCGGAGGTTGCGGTGAGCCGAGATCGTGCCATTGCACTCCAGCCTGGGTAACAAGAGCGAAACTCCATCTCAAATAAATAAATAAATAAATATAAATAAATATAAATAAAATTGCTGGGTGCAGTGGCTCACGCCTGTAATCCCAGCACTTTGGGAGGCTGAGGCAGGTGGATCACCTGAGGTCAGGAGTTTGAGACCAGCCTGACCAACATGTCAAAACTGTCTCTACAAAAAATACAAATATTAGCTAAGCATAGTGCGCACCTGTGGTACCAGCTACTCAGGAAGCTGAGGCAGGAAGAATTGCTTGAACCCAGGAGGCAGAGGTCGCAGTGAGCTGAGATTGTGCCACTGCACTCCAGCCTGGGCAACAGAATGAGACTCCATCTCAAAAAAAGAAAAAAAAAATCTGAGTCTGAAATCAAGTTTCACCACTAACAAATTATGTGACTTTGGGCAAGGCTTTTAACCTGAGCTCTGGTGCTTTGGTGCCTTATATTCTGAGAACAGGAGCATGCGCCCTCCTCCCTTCATAGGGTTATCATATTGAATGAAATCATTAAAGTGATTCTTTGACCACTTTCAGAACCATCAAGACCCGCCCAAGGTCACATCCATTCATAATAAAATGGAAATGGCAACACCTGAACAACCCTCCAGCAGTCTGTCAGATCACATCTTCCTTCCTATGAAAACTTTCTCCAGGTTTTCCAGGTCTTACTAAACTCTCCATGTTCTGAACTCCTTTGATACACCAAGTCAGTGCACCCAGTCAGGTGCTACATTGGTCTCTTGTTAATCCTGCCTGTAAGCATCTTCTCAATGAGACTGTAAGCTCCTTAAGGGCAGAATCTGGCTGGCATTCATTTCATGTGTCCTGAGACAGTGCCTTGATCTATAGATGCTTAATAAATGGTGACTGGATAACTGATCAGCAATGAGTTCTTCCAGAAGATGCAGTGAATTACCTTCGATGATCCCCCATGGAGTTTTTCGGCCAAGGACCCTCTTGCCATTCACTTGGTACTCCTTGTCACTTCCCACCACAGCAAACGGCATGCTCTCCTGCTGTACGGGGCAGAAACACAAACCAGACAATGTGCACCGTCATCCTCCAACAACCTGGGTATCCAGGAGCAGGACGACCTATGGTCCTGTGGCCTTGAACCACACTCTTCTGATGCTCATTCAGAGATACCACTGATGGCAAGGGCAAGGCTCAGCCGATTGAAAAGAGCACCACACTCAGAATCAGGAGTCCTGGGTCGAATCCCGATTGTACTACTACCCGGCTGGTTAACCTCAGGAATCAGCTCTCCTTCAGCTGCAGAGCGCTTCATACATTTTTTTTTGAAATGGAGTTTTGCTCTTGTTGCCCAGGCTGGAGTGCAATGGGACAATTTCAGCTCATTGCAACCTCTGCCTCCTGAGTTCAAGTGATTATCCTGCCTCAGCCTCCTGAGTAGCTGGGACTATAGGCATGCACCACCATGCCCTGCTAATTTTTATATTTTTATAAAATAGAGAGTATATTTTTATAAAGTAGAGACAGGGTTTCGCCATGTTGGTTAGTCTGGTCTGGAACTCCTGACCTCAGTTGATCCACCTGCCTCAGCCTCCCAAAGCGCTAGGATTACAGGTGTGAGCCACTGCACCTGGCTTTTATTTTTAAATGGAGTTTCCACTCTTGTCACCCAGGCTGGAGTTCTCAGCTCACTGCAACCTCCACCTCCTGGGTTCAAGCAATTCTCCTGCCTCAGCCTCTCAAGTAGCTGGGATTACAGGCACCCACCACTGTGCTCAGATAATTTTCATATTTTTAGTAGAGATGGGGTTTCACCATGTTGGTCAGGCTGGTCTCGAACTCCTGACCTCAGGTGATCTACTTGCCTCAGCCTCCCAAAGTGCTAGGAATATAGGCGTGAGCCAATGCACCCAGCCACTTCATACTTTTCATAGTGCTTTACATACGCTTACTGATTTTGAACACCTCTGACCTAGCAAGGACAGACAGAATCCCTCTTAAACAAGTCCACCCAAGCAGACTCACTGATGCTTTACACCATCTCTGTGAAACCTACTACTGCAGATGCCCAGGCCCTCGGAACTCTCAGAGCTCTAGGCTACTTCCTGGTGTACAAAAGCCAGACCTGCTCCACCAGGTGGGATGCCTGTTCATCAGGAGCCAGCTGTTTGTTCCCAAATCTATTTGCCTGATGTGTACTTGTTATTGTAATTAGATAGACTGAAGCCAGATGCCTGAAGAGAGTTGATTCTCTGAAATTTAAGCTGAATGTTTCAGAAAGACTTGATAAAGGTGAGTTGCTTTGGCATTAAAGGTGGGCTTCTCCTCAATGAAGAGGCCTTGGTGCTTCAGGAAAAGAATGTGTAATGAATGTGATGAATATGTTTTGTTTTGCTTTGGGCAGGTGAGTTATTGTACACACCTTAGCGGATTCTGAGTTCCATGCCCATTGTCCTGCTTATATATGTTTTAAATTATTTTAACTTAGTAACTTCTTAAAATATTTATTTTTAAACATTTAAGATTTGTGACCAGGTGCAGTGGCTCATGCCCGTAATCCCAACACTTTGGGAGGCCAAGGAGGGCTGATCACCTGAGGTCAGGAGTTGGAGACCAGCCTGACCAATATGGAGAAACCCATCTCTACTAAAAAAAAAAAAAAAATACAAAATTAGCTGAGTGTGGTGGTGTGTGCTTGTAATCCCAGCTACTTGGGAGGCTGAGGCAGGAGAATCACTTGAACCTAGGAGGCGGAGGCTGCAGTGAGCTGAGATCGCATTACTGCACTCCAGCCTGGGCAGCAAGAGCGAAACTCTGTCTCAAAAAAAAAAAACACTTGTAAACATCATTTTAGAGAATGATTTCCTCGCCTCAGAGAACTTTTTCAGTTAATTGACCAACTACTGGTCTCAACTACTTCGGATAAGGAACTTCTACTAGTTTATCCACTCAATGGAGGAGGAGACTCAAGACCAAAACAGTGAATAACGTTATCTCAGGGGAGAGAGCAAAGCCCAGCCTAGTTCCCAGCTTTTGATGTAGAATCACAGAACTGTAGGAATTTAGAATTGAGAGGGACCTTGGAAATTATGCAGAATGATAGATTCCAAGCCAAGTTCATGGAGGATTAAGGTTTCCAGCAGGTACCCTACAGGCTGCTGAGGAGGCAGGGTTCTGTGCCTGTCACTTAGCCAAAGCAGCTCTGATTTTGTTTTGTATATTGGAATTCTGAGATTTATTCTTTTTTTTTTTTTTTTTTAAGATACAGTCTTGCTCAGCTGGGTGTGGTGGCTCACACCTGTAATCCCAGCACTTTGGGAGCCAAGGCGGGCAGATCACAAAGTCAGGAGTTCGAGACTAGTCTGGCAAACATGGTAAAACCCTGTCTCTACTAAAAAAATACAAAAATTAGCTGGACATGGTGGCACGCATCTGTAATCCCAGCTACTAGGGAGGCTGAGGCAGGAGAATGGCTTGAACCTGAGAGGCGGAGGTTGAAGTGAGCTGAGATCACATCACTGCACTCCAGCCTGGGCGACAGAGCAAGACTCAGTCTCAAAAAACAAAAAAAAAGATAAGGTCTTGCTCTGTCACCCAGGCTGGAGTGCAGTGGCATGATCATGGCTCACTACAGCCTCAACCTCTGGGGCTCATGCAATCCTCCCACCTCAGCTTCCGGAATAGCTGGGACTACAGGCACCTGCCATCACACCTGGCTAATTTTTGAAGTTTTTGTAGAGACAAGTTTTTGCCATGTTGCCCAGGCTGGTCTTGAACTCCTGGGCTCAAGTGATTCTCCCATCTAGGCCTCACAAAGTACTGGGATTACTGGAATAAGCCACCATGCCCAGCCAATTTTTGGGGGGGAAAAAGCCCATAAGTCACTCACTTAGTCTAACCCCTGCATTATATAGAGAAGAAACTGAGGCAGAGAAGAAACTGAGGCACAGATTCTCCTGAACCCCAGCACGATGCTCTTCCTGCCCACTGCCCCTCCCATCACCCCACATACTGTTTCTGCCAGACCTTGTGAGGGAAAAGGAGGCTTTTGTGTGGTCTGGGGATGGAAGGCTTTCTGGGTACAGGGAGCCCTTCTGTGAGTTCACAGTCCAGGGCCAGAGTCCTCCCCCACCCCCCATATCACTTCTGGTCTGTGTCAAGCAAGGTGGGGGAAGAGTACAGAAAGGGAAAAGACAGATGCCCATGATACACATCCCAGAGGTCGAAGGGGGCATCTGTGGAGGAGCAGTGCCTCAGGCACCCACCCTGATTTTGTCATTCTCTGTCTTATCCTCCAAATCCTCATCAAATTCCTTCTGTGGGTAGAATTCAATGCCATTTACTTCAAGCTCCTTGCGAACCTGGAGGCGGGGAGAAGAAGCAAAGTAGCCAAGTGTCAGGATAATGGAAAAGGGGTGTGTGCACCTGTGTGTGTGAGCTGAGGTCAGAGAGCAGAATCCAGCCTTGGATAACCCAGTCATCTCTGAACTCTGACACCCTGAGCTGCAATAAGATTGTGAATAAATGCAAGCCCCAGTGATACAATTACAGCTTAGCCTGAGAGGAGGAAGAGGCCAGGAGGTGCAACTTCAGGTCCCAGGCGCCTCGCAACCAGCTTGCTCATCTCAAGTCCACAAGACTGGGATTTGCACAAGAGCCCAGCTGAGCCCACTGGGGAGTGCTCAGACCCCTGCATGTTATATTCCTGATTGCAAGGAAGAAAGGCGAGGCTCCCCCTACTCCAAGACTCTCTGTTTGCCCTCTTTCAAGGTTGACTTAAGTCTTGCCTTCTCCAGGAAACCATCCAGGACCTCTTCATTGTTCTATTTGATTGTAAGTTTCTTTCTTTCTTTCTTTTTTTTTTTTTTTTTTGAGATGGAGTCTCCCTCTATCCCCTGGGCTGGAGTGCGGTGGTGTGATCTCAGCTCACTACAACTTCCACCTCCCGGGTTCCAGCAATTCTCCTGCCTCAGCATCCCAAGTAGCTGAAATTACAGGTGCCCGCCACCACACCCAGCTAATTTTTTGTATTTTAGTAGAGATGGGCATTTTACCATGTTGACCAGGCTGTTCTTGAACTCCTGATGTCAGGTGATCCACCCGCCTCAGCCTCCCAAAGTGCTGGGATTACAGGCTTGAGCCACCGCGCCCAGACTTGTAAGTTTCTTAAAGGTAGCAATTGTCTTTTCATTTATCTCCAATCCCACCTCCTCAACCTTATATATGCAGCGCAGGGCTGAGCTTATAGAAGATGCCAGTGAGGACTAGTGGCCAGTTGACTCACTAATTAGTCTAGTCCTTCAAGTAGGGTAACATTTTTTTTTTTTTTGAGAAGGAGTTTCGCTCTTGTTACCCAGGCTGGAGTGTAAAGGCGTGATCTTGGCTCACTGCAACCTCTACCTCCTGGGTTCAGGCAATTCTCCTGCCTCAGCCTCCTGAGTAGCTGGGATTACAGGCACGCACCACCGTGCCCAGCTAACTTTTTTGTATTTTTAGTAGAGACAGGGTTTCACCATGTTGATCAGGATGGTCTCGATATCTTGACCTCGTGATCCACCCGCCTCGGCTTCCCAAAGTGCCGGGATTACAGGTGTGAGCCACAAGTAGGGTAACATTTGAGGAGTGATTTCTCATGTTCACAGTGATATGTGTATTCAGTGGTATTCACAGTGGGGAGGGCAGGAGGAAGGCAGGAGGAGCTGCACCATCTATTCTTCAGCAAAGTCCCCAGATACCACCAACCTCAGCCTCTTGAATGGTTAAGTAGGAGCTGGGGTAGAGAACGGGGAGGATTGACAGAGGGGGCAAAGGCAGAATGATGAGGGCTAGGAGGTGGACTGAACCCAGAAGAGAGAAAGGAAGGGATGGGAGCAGGAAGAGAAGATGGGGGCCTTCTCACCCTTTGCTTGAATTCACACTTCTCCTCCAGGGTCATGGTGTCAGCCTTAGCGATGACAGGGATGATGTTCACAACCTTGCTGAGGTGTTTCATGAACTCAAGATCCAGAGGTCGCAAGCTGGGGCCCAGAAAAAGCAGGATTGTCAGAGCCACCTTGTCCTCCCCAGCTCACCCACTGCCACCACTCCAGGGCACCCTCGGGAGAAGACGACTGGGCTGGGCATCTGGCTGAGGCCAAGAGGCTACTGCTCTCCTCTCCCATACAGCCCCACTGCCTTGCTGTCTGCAGAGCCACCTCACCACCTGTCTTTTTCTTCTCCAGTTCCCATGCAGAGCCTGCCTCTCTTTAAGTCCCTCAAACCACCCCTTCATGACATCTTTTCTGACTTAGGGATTTCTTTCTACTGGGAGGATCTGTGGACTATTGTCTCTACTCACAGGTCCTCGCATGTGTGTCTTTTTTCCTTTTTTGTCTGTCTCAAAACAACAACAAAATGACATTTGTCTGTGTGTGTGTGTATGTGTGTTTTCTTTTGAGACACGGTCTTGCTTTGTCACCCAGGCTGGAGTGCAGTGGTATGATCCTTGGCTCACTGCTGTCTCAACCTCCAGGCCTCAAGCAATCCTCCCACCTCAGCCTCCAGAGAAGCTCACACCACAGGCACACACCACCATGTCTGGCTAATTTTTTAATTTTTGTAGAGACAATGTCTTGCCACGTTGCCTAGACTAGGCTTGAACTCCTGGGCTCAAGCGATCTTTCTGCCTTGGCTTCCCAAAATGCTGGGATTACAGGCAAGAGCCACTGCACCCAGTGTGTATGTCTTGTTCTGCCTATCGGACAGTACTTCTTGATGGGTCTCCTCCCAGCCCCCAGAGTTAGTCCTGCATGGTCAAGTTGGGGCCCTTGCCCTCCCTACAGTCTGACAGCCTATGCCCCTACCCTGCCTCAGGCTCTGAGACCCCAACTTGGCTCTATTTTGCAATCTGGGGGACTCATTAAGTCAGGCTATGTGATGGTTCATTCTGACTGAGGGTCGAAGCCTCAGGAGGGATAAAGCCAGCCTCCTGTTGAGTTCCTGAGCCTGGTCCAGAGGTCTTCTTTTTTTTTTTTTTTTTTGAGACAGAGTTTCGCTGTTGTTACCCAGACTGGAGTGCAATGGCACGATCTCGGCTCACCGCAACCTCCGCCTTCTGGGTTCAAGCAATTCTCCTGCCTCAGCCTCCTGAGTAGCTGGGATTACAGGCATGCACCACCATGCCCAGCTGATTTTTGCATTTTTTAGTAGAGATGGGGTTTCACCTCGTTGACCAAGATGGTCTCGATCTCTTGACCTGGTGATCCACCCGCCTCGGCCTCCCAAAGTGCTGGGATTATAGGTGTGAGCCACCGCGCCCGGCTCAGAGGTCTTGCTTCATCTCTCTCCTCCCCCCACCATCACTGCCTGCTTCCTACAAAATTTGGGGCCTACCTTGCTTGTGCCATCCTCTGAAGAACTTAACCCTGGCCCAGTAGCTGGGCTGAGTAATGTTTGAGGCCCCCTCCCCCCATCTCTGTAGGAAGGTTGCTGGCTTGCCCCCTGCAATGTCCATTCTCTGCCTGTTCGCAGCACTTCCTTCATGGGGCCTACCTGTCACTTACAATCAAGAGTTCCCAGCACACTTGTGTGTGTCTTATTCTGCCTATCAGACAGTACTTCATGACAATGGTTGGCCTTTATCTCTGGACACACAATGCCTCACTCCAGGCTGGCACCTTCCAAATGCCTATAGCTGGGTCCCATACCCCTGGAAACACCAGCCCCAATCCAGGAGCCCTGCCCTGCCCTATTTCACCCTTCTTGCTGCTCCCCCCAACTCCAGTCCAAAGCAGGTATTTGGTGAATAAATGAAGTGCCCTCTTCTCACATATATCAACTCCTCTCTGCTGGTATAGTTGTGCCATGCTGCTGGGACACCAGTGGGAAGATATTGGTGGCTGATGCTGGACAGCTTGTGTGTGTGTGTGTGTGTGTGTGTGTGTGCTTCTCCTCGCAAGAAAGTCAGATCTCCTCATGGAAAGTCTGAGGAATCCCAAGGTCATAACAGTATTCCAGCTCACCTGGCCCTCCCTAGCTGAGTCACGGTATGGATCATCCAACCCAGAATGGGCACAGATGATGCGAACCAGACCAGGCCTGGCAATGGGGGTGGGGTTGGTACATACGAGTGTCCTGTGGGGGAGATGAAGTAAAGGCAGCAGTGGACGCGAGTGTCAGGGATGCGTTTCTTCCTGGCGATATTCACCTCCTCCTTCAGGAACTTCTCGTATTGCTCATTGATGTACTTCTCAATGGGCTCCCAGCTAAGGGTGGGAAAAAGTAGATAGATGCGTCAGAAGAACAAGACTAGGGCTCAGCTTAGGCATGGTCCGGTAGCAATCTCCTTCCATCCATCTCATTCCCTGGTGGGCCTAGGATACCTGCTGCCGGATTCCCCCTCAGCCCCCATATGGATGGCTTTCCTAGATGGTTAGCTAGCAGGGGCGGAGCTCCCCAGAAATTGCAGAGCATGGAGGGTGCAGATAGTTCTCAACGTGAATGAATCTGCATCATAGTATCTTCCCAGCAGTCTTTAGGGCAAAGATCTCAGAGGCAGACATATACCAGTTTTCATTGTTGATTTGGTCTCCAAAGCCCGGGGTATCGATGACGGTCAGCTTCATTTTGACACCACCTTCCTCTATCACTGGGGGTGAAAAGAAAATGTACCAGAGAGGTCATTCCTACAGCTGACCCTAGGTACCTGGCAGCCTACTAGCTAGGGAGACCCAGGCCTGTTCTTCAGGATCAGTTACTGGAAAAATCAAATTTAGGGCCTTTTCTATCTTGATATCACGGCTCATGCTGTTCCCTGTAACTGGAATCTGGAATATCCTCTCTCTGCAGTGGTATAATCACAGCTCACTGTAGCCCCAAACTCCCAGGCTCAAGCAATCCCCTCCCCTCAGCCTCCCCAATAGCTAGGACTACAGGTGTGCACCATCACACCCAGCTATTTCTTTTTTAAGAGACAGGGTTTCAGCCTGGCACGGTGGCTCATGCCTGTAATCCCAGCACTTTGGGTGGCTGAAGAGATCACAAGGTCAGGAGTTCGAGACCAGTCTGGCCTATATGGTGAAACTCCATCTCTAGTAAAAAAAAAAAAAAAAAAAAAAAAATTAGCTGGGCATGGTGGTGCATGCCTGTAGTCCCAGTTACTTGGGAGGCTGAGGCAGAAGAATCACTTGAACCTGGGAGACGGAGGTTGCAGTAAGCCAGAATCACACGACTATACTCCAGCCCGGGTGACAGAGCGAGACTCCATCTCAATATAAACAAAAAAATAAAAGAGACAGGGTTTCACTGTGTTGACCAAGATGTTCTCAAACTCCCTGCCTCAAGCGATCCTCCCACTTTGGCCTCCTGAAGTGCTGGCTCACAGGCATGAGCCACTGCACCTACCCTCTCACCTCTTTCTACCTGTCTAAATCCTACTTGGCTTTACCATCCAGCTCAAGTCCTACCTCCTTCCATTCTAGCTCCCTGTTCTCTGTTCCCTGAACCAGCAGTCTAAGGACTTTACTTCAGAGTGCAATGCTCAAGTCTATTCTCCTTAAGGTTGCCTTTCATTGGTCCTATTCCTCAATAAACCCCATTCTTTCCCCTTTGCAGCAGAGGCACTCATTGAACAAAGCCCATAGGGGTCCCTGCCTGGTCCTCACCATGCCCGATAGCTTTGATCTCCACCGTCTTGGGGATCTTCTCCTCCCGGTTCCAGCTGGAGGCCTTGCGGCTCACTTGGGATTTGAAGAGCGTGTTGACCAGTGTTGATTTGCCCAGTCCACTCTGGCCTACAGCAAAGCAGAATGAGAAGATAGGGAGACTCTGCATCCAGCTTCTGAGCCTAATACCTCCCCATAAGCTTACAGAATTCTAGAGCCATCATCCAGGCCAGCACCTTGTCTGACCACTCACTGGGGGATGGCCAGGCTGAGTAGGGAGGGCAGGCAGGTGGGAATGACTTCCTGCTTACTGCAGAGAGCCTGAAACACCAACTGGATTCCATATTCTCTTCTTCCCAGAGCCTGAGGACCACTGGGAAAGAAGACAACCTCTGCATATGTGTAGTGTCATCGTTTTCTGTTTTGGTGTGATTCAGCTTTTTGCTTAGGTTTTCACTTTGTTTTTGTTTTGAGATGGAGCCTTGCTCTGTCACCCAGGCTGGAGTGCAGTGGCGCAATTTCAGCTCACTGCAACCTCTGCCTCCTGGATTCAAGTGATTCTTCTGCCTCAGCCTCCTGAGTAGCTGGGACTACAGCCTTGTGCCACCACACCCAGATAATTTTTGTTTGTTTGCTTGTTTGTTTAGAAGGGATGCGGCCTCACCATAATGGCCAGGCTGCTCTTGTACTTCTGACCTCATGATCTGCCAGCCTCGGCCTCCCAAAGTGCTGGGATTACAGGCATGAGCCACCAAGCCCGGCCGGTTTTCACGTTTTAATGATACTAAAATGATAAATAGAATTAATAGAATTACTTTGTATCCTGACACTGCCTCACAGTGCATATTACACATTCATATTTGTTAGTCAAATTCATCTGTATATCAGCCCTGTGGATCCTGAAGCAGAACTATCTTTATCCTCAGTCGAAATGGTCCCAGAGAGATGAATCGTCTTCTAACAAAATATGTGCAGAGCAACATAACTAATAAATGCAAGACCAGAAAATTTAACCCAAAGAATGTCTTGGCTCTATAGCCACTCTTCATTCTAAGGTAGTGGTTTTTAGATTGTGCTCCCAGAAGCCTTAGTGTCCTGTGAAAATACCTGCCAGAGAAGGCACTGTGAGAGGCAGAGGAGGCTGGGCAGACAGCCTCTGCCTCCACTTCCTTCTCCATGGCTCCCTTTTCACCTGTTTTCCACAAGCATATCTGTTGAAAATTTCATTTCAAGGAAAAGTTTCATGGCGAAAGAGCATTTGAAAACCACTGGTCAGTCTGGGCACAATGGCTCACACCTGTAATCCCAGCACTTTGGGAGGCTGAGGTGGGCAGATCACTTGAGGCCAGGAGTTCGAGACCAGCCTTACCAACATGGCAAATGTCTCTACTAAAAATACAAAAATTAGCTGGATGTGGAGGCACATGCCTGTAGTCCCAGCTACTGAGGAGACTGAGGATCACTTGAACCCAGGAAGTAGAGGTTGTGGTGAGCCAGGATTGCACAACTGCACTCCAGCCTGGGCAACAGAGCAAGACTCTGTCTCAAAAAAATAAATAAATAAAAGAAATCCACTGGTCTGAGCAGTGCTTCTCAAACTTCAACTTGTACGAGACTCCCACGAGAAAGACTTGCAAAGAAAAAGCAGCCTCAGCATTGCCCAGACACTAGTGGGGAATGCAGACTCTCAGCCCCTACCTGAGACTTTTGATTCCGAATCTGCGTTTTCACTGGGCTTCCAGAAGAGTCATGTAGACAGTAATTGATTATATTAGAAAAAGAACTAGGCTAGGGGACAAAGGCTTAGAGTTCCAGACCCACCTGCGTTGTTTTCCCCGAATGCCCTTGGATTAGTCATACCTTGGTTTCTTTACTGATAGGATGGTAAGAAGAGAGGAAATTGGACAAGACCAGGGATGGTAAATAAGGTGCATTTCTCATTCCTGCTGATGAGCTGGTAGTAGCCACCTAGATCATTATGTTAAAAAGGCTACATCTGGGCTCAGCACTGAATGTGTGCCATGACTAACTGGCAGTCTGCCATGGGCACCACTGGGGAGAGAAGTAAGTGGCTCATGGATCTTGGATTTGCCATGCTTGCTCTGAGATTTCAGTTTTTTTGAGATGGAGTCTCGCTCATCATCCAGGCTGGAGTACAGTGGCATGATCTCCACTCACAGCAACCGGTGATTCTCCTGCCTCAGCCTCCTAAGTAGCTGGAACTACAGGCACATGCCACCACATCCAGCTACTTTTTGTATTTTTAGTAGAGACAGGGTTTCACCATGTTGGCTAGGCTGGTCCCAAACTCCTGACTTCAGGTGATCCACCTGCAGCTCCCAAAGTGCTGGGATTACAGGCGTGAGCTGCCGCACCCAGCCTCTGAAATATTTTCTTTTTTCTTTTTTTTTTTTTTTTGAGATGGAGTTTCACTCTTGTTACCCAGGCTGGAGTGCAATGGCGCAATCTTGGCTCACCGCAACCTCCACCTCCTGGGTTCAGGCAATTCTCCTGCCTCAGCCTCCTGAGTAGTTGGGATTACAGGCACGCGCCACCATGCCCGGCTAATTTTTTGTATTTTTAGTAGAGGCGGGGTTTCACCATGTTGACCAGGATGGTCTTGATCTCTTGACCTCGTGATCCACCCGCCTTGACCTCTCAAAGTGCTGGGATTACAGGTGTGAGCCATCTCGCCCAGCCGAGATGTTTTCTAAGAGCATTCATTCATTAATAATTCTTAGGTACCAAGTGCTGTCCTAGAAGCTGGAGGTATTGTGGTAAACAACACATCGGCCTTTCCATCAAGGAGCTGTTCAGTGTGCGAAACCAAAACATAAGCAGGCAATTATAGTATGTTGCAATAACCACTATGAAAGATGGTAACCACCGGGTATGGAAACAGCATTGCAAAGGGAATCCAACCCAGTCTCTCCGAGACCAATGAAGACTTCTAGAGAAATGCAACTAAGCTGAAACCTGAAGGTGGATTTCAAGAGTCATGAGTTCGGGCCGGGCGCGGTGGCTCAAGCCTGTAATCCCAGCACTTTGGGAGGCCAAGGCGGGTGGATCACGAGGTCCAGAGATCGAGACCATCCTGGTCAACATGGTGAAAGCCCATCGCTACTAAAAATACAAAAAATTAGCTGGGCATGGTGGCACATGCCTGTAATCCCAGCTACTCAGGAGGCTGAGGCAGGAGAATTGCCTGAACCCAGGAGGTGGAGGTTGCGGTGAGCCAAGATTGCGCCATTGTTACCAGCCTAGGTAACAAGAGTGAAACTCCATCTCAAAAAAAAAAACAGAGTCATGAGTTCTAGCCAGAAGGAACAGCATATGCAAAAGCTCTAGGGTAGGAAAGAGCATGGCATGTGGAGGGGCACTGTCCCTTATGAGTGAGGAGTAGAATGGTAGGTGAGAAGTGGTCATGCTAGGCCCATTAGCATGGGAATGCTAGATGAGTTGGACCGGTAGCAGCCCGATAGTCTAAGAGTTTAAACTTATCCTAAGGTTAAAGGAGAGTTATTACAGAGTTTTAAGCAGGATGGGTGACTTGGTAAGTTTTGCAAGGTGGACAGATTATTTGGTCACTGGTGGACAAGGGACTGGAAAGGAAAGGAGACAGAGAACCAGGAGGGTTGCTGCTACTCTGAGTGTGGCCCGTAGCGGCCCAGCTGCCAGGGCCCCTGAATCATTTGCTACCAGTTCTCGAAATAAGAAGTCGGCCTCAAGAGAGAAATCTACCATGTCATTGAGCACACTGTTTAGCTCAGCTGAGGTATTTTATAGCAAGACTTTCCAGATGATTTATACTCTGGCCCAAGCATGAGCTGAGCTTATCTTGCTGCAAGTCAGCACTTTGACAGCACAGAGTCAGGTGGCCACAGCAAGCCAGGTGAGAGACCTGGCTCAGCATAGGGTGGCAGCAGGAGAGAGAAGAGAAGTGGGCAGACATAAGAGATGTTTACAGGTAAAATGGATAAGACTGGATGTCTGAGTAGATTGGAGGACGAAGGAGGAAGAAGACAGAAGGATGACGCCAGATTCCTATTTCAGCACTGACTAGACATCTCACTGAGATGGGGTAAAGGTCCCTTCCTACTCTTACATTCTGTGACACAGTGATGCTCCTCAGTGACAAAATCCCTGGAAATTCAAAGTTTTAAAGCACTACAAAAGATGAGAAATAAGACCACCCTTCATCCAATCCTCCCACCAGCTCCCAGAGGTAGGAAAAGACATTGATGATTCTCTCATGTCACAAACCCAAAAGCAGGCTCACCGTGATGATGGGGCTACCTGTGCACACCCAACTGGTGATGGGGCCAGGCTGACATCCACCCAAAGCTCCTACCCCTGGGTCAGCTAGTCTCAAGGGGAGCAGGGGGGTCAGGCCTTTGTGATCAGCATGGTGAAATTCTCCCTTCTATAAACAGCTCATCTTAGGAGAGCCAGGATCACAGCCATTCAGGGGAAAGAAATGGGATCCTCAGTGCTGCCCGCCAGCAGGCCTGCAGCAGCCCATGGCCTTCCGTACCAACAACCATGATGTTGAAGTCGAACCCAGTCTTCATGGTCTTCTTCCGCATCTGCTCGATGATGGTGTCAATGCCGATGTAGCCCAGCAGGTTGGAGTTGATGCTCATGGGCTTCATAGGCACCGCTGGCTTAGGCCTGGGCTCAGGCACCAGCTCTGACATGGCTGTGTCCGTCCTGGTCTCTGGGAGCCCTGCAGAGACAAGGTGGGAAGGGTCAGAGGGGTGACAGGAGGACAGCAGAGGTCACATGGAAGCCATGGTATTTTTCTCTTGCTACAGAATCATACAAAGTTGGGCCTTAATGGAAGGGATCTTAATGTCATCCAGTCCAGGTCCCTCATTTCATAGACGAAGAGACTGATGCCTGGAGGAGAAAGAACTCACCTAAGAACACAGAGCAGGTCAGAGGCAAAATCTGGGCCAGTGCCAAGTTCTCTGGTTGCTGGGCACTTTTCTTTTTTGAGATGTAGTTTTGCTCTTGTTGCCCAGGCTGGAGTGCAGTGGCACAATCTCAGCTCACTGCAACCTCTGCCTCCCGGGTGCAAGTGATTCTCCTGTCTCAGCCTTCCAAGTAGCTGGGATTATAGGTGCCCA